CGAGGACTGTTTTACTTAACCCCCCCCCTTTTTTTACATACTAAATACACCTAATTTACCCCTTTTACCCCCCTACCCCCCCCCCCCGCTAAAACTACCCCCCCCCGTTTACCCCCCCTTTACACCCCCCCCCCCCCTAACCTCAACCCCCCCCCAAAACCCCCTATACCCCCTACCCGTCCCTAACTACCCTCACCCCCCCCCCTAACCCCCCCACCCCCTTCCCCCCTACCTTTTACCCCCACTGTTTACCCCCCCCTACCCCCCCCCCCCCCCCCCCTACCCCCTTACCCCCCCCTATACTAACCCCCCAAAACCCCCCTACCTTTAACCCCCCTACCCCCCCCCTTAACCCCCCCCCCCCTAACCTACCCCCCCCCCCCCCCACTTTACCCTACTTACCCCACCCTAACCCCCTACCTAACCCCCCACCCCCCCTCTCAACCCCCCCCCCTAACCACCCCCCTTTTAACCCCCTACCCCTACACCTTACGGACCCCCCCCCCCACCCCCCCCCCCCCCCACCCCCCGGACAAAAGAAGTAGTGCTCAATAAATATTACGACAACGGTAGGTTTAGTGCACATACCGTAAAATTATGGAAATCATGACGACTACGTTGATCGACTGGAGAGACTATGGATTGTCTATTATCCAGTCTTACTCTGAGGAGCAGAGTTCCCAGCGAACTAAGCTGGCCTGTGGTGTACTGACACTGACATCACGCTTCAACCACTGGTAGCACAGTCGCACACATGTTACAGCAGCAGACTGCACCAAGATGTACATGTCTGTCATCATACTGAATGACTGATCACTCATCTCAAATCTTACGTATTCACAGCTTACAATGACAATGCATCATTACCATCCTAGTAGACGGCCCGTGCAGATAAGTAGCATACGTGTACCTTGGTATGTGGATGGATGAGAGTGGGCGATGGTTGTTAGGGACCGAGCCACACCAGTAACACATCTTCATCGTAATAGTGTGTGATGTATAGAGGCACAGTGTCAACCTGAGCAATCCCTGCAGCACTATAGCAACCTCCTGAATGGGTGTCCTAGCACTGGCAGAGCAGTATGAGCTCCAGCCAGGCATCACACACCCTCCCCTCATCTGCTGTTGTTTCCCTGCGCCCACCTCTCTCTCCTCCTCCCTGAGACTTGTGCAGACCTGTCTTGTACTACAGGTAATAGGCATAGCAGGGGTGTGTACATTATGGTATTACTGTGCAAATGGGGCATATGTACTGCTATACCTTTGCCTGTAGGAATGTTCTCTGCACGATTCTGTCCAGTTTGCCTCTCTCATTGTCTGATGCTTTATTGTACTGCCAATGTGGGTAGCAACATGAGCAATCAGGCTGCAAGTACATATAAATTCGCTGGGAGAGCTCACCTTCTCGATAAAGGATTGAGATATCTTCGTAGGTGCGGTGTTTTTCACGACAGGTCTAATTGTTAGGAAACAGTTAGCTAAGTGGAGTTACGCAGAAAAGCAGCCCATCCCCTCTTTCCTACCGTGAAGTCGCGGGCGGGTGTTTGTCTGTGTTGTTTCTTTGACCTTCCCGCAGGAGCTGCTCCGCACGAGACACAGACACAATACCAAACCTGTGCACCACTGGAACCCGGACTACGGGCATTTTTAGTCAGAGACAGCCACCACAAGTTTTCTATTGCAGCAGCCCAAGCAAGACAGAGAGCTCTAGAGAGGCGCAGCGCTTTCCGCATGCGCTTGGTGCACACAATTTGCGTATTAATATTACTTTGTTGCCGGTTGTCATGGCAATTCTGCTACGTATAATAAGAACATCCAATTTTCTCGATCGGCAGATGACCCTACACCCTTCGCCCCAAGATCAAGCAGAAACGACTGTGTCCGACAGTGTGTGTGTGTGTGAGAGCGAAGAAAACAACTCACCTGTACGTAGGTAAGTCTGGTCAGATTCGTGTATACGTACAAAATGGGCCCCTCTAAACGTACTGATGATCGGTAGCTTTCTAACCTCCCCTGAGTGTGGTAGCCTTGGATCGTGCCGTTTGTAAGTCAGTCGTACGTACGAAGCATGGTTGTGTGTGTGCGCCTACTCTTGTCAGTGTCGTTGTGTCAGCTGTGCAGGAGCCAAGTAGTGGCGATTCCTCCCCCCTCTTCCCTCCCTCGCGCTTCGCTTCGCCTACTTATTATATCTATATATTGGTCACCGTAATCCCTGCGACCCTCTGACGGTAGATCCCGAGAACTCAAAAAAGCAAAACCCGCCATCCTCCCACCAACCCTTCCTCCCCTCGTCTTATCCTCTCCCTCTAGTCCTTCTCACCCTTCTCCTCCTCCACCTACACTTGCCCAGCATTCTCCCCAGGCCACCCTTCACACCTCGTCTACATGTTTCCTTCTCCTTTTGCTCTCTTCATTTTTCGACGCCCTTCTCCTCTCTCTTAGCACTCTTGCTCAGCTCGGGCCCCGCCGCGCGCCCCAGCCGCGTGCCCGCTTCCCCTCCAGAAACCCCGTCGCCCCAAGATCAAGCAGAAAACGACTTGTGTCCACGTGTGTGGTGTGGTGATAGCGAATAAAACAACTCCCTGTAAGTAGTAGTCTGGTCTATTCGTGTATACGTCAAATGGCCCCTCAAACGTAACTTATGATCGGTACTCTTTCTACTCCCCTGAGTGGTGGTAGCCTTGATCGTGCCGTTTGTAAGGTCGTCGTACTTACAATCATGTTTTGTGTGGCGCCTAACTCCTTGTGAATGTCGTTGGTGTCAGCTGGTGCAGAGCCAGTAGTTGCGATTATAGTCAAGATCATGAACCCCTGTACATTTCGACTTAGCTTACAAAACAGCCTTTCTCATCACACAACAATGTATCTATCACGCTCTGACGGTACAGAATGTACCGCCCTTGTCTAGTAGTCAAGCTAGCTGTCCGTTAGCTTGCCTCAGTCCTCTAGTTGACATTACCCCTGTGTGTGACTCACTTCCTTTCTGACACGACACATACTGTGCTGTTTTACCGTCAGGTAGTAGCTGATATGTCTATATAACTCCTCTCGTTGGTGCTGTTGTTGCTTTGCCTCGGCCTTGCAACGTTGTTGTTGTTGACACAATGCGCATGTTGCTACCAGTTTACATGTCCGATGTTTGGTACCGAGGTGTGTGCTCGTTTTGATGCTGCGAGGCCCCTCGGTAAGCAACCTACATACCACTGTAATACTTGAGAGTCCTTTGTCATTTGTTCACTTAGTGTACGATCCACATTCCCCCTCCCCTCCCCCCTCTCTCCTTGCATACAGTAACACAGCAGTTAATTGTTTTGTGGTGGTGACTGGTGGGAGGATGCCTGCCCCACGGTGTCTATCTCTGTATCTCCTGGCAGCACTCCTGAGTCTCCTCCTCTCCCCGCCCTCGCCTCCACTAGCTACAGAGCCTCTCTGCAACGAACCCTCGAGCAAACCAAAGCTCTACATCCATGGGTTTGTTGCCGGCAAGGAGCGACGTGTTCACCTCAGAGACCATCGTCCCGGCTGCCAATTTGCATGTAAGAGATCATACCAATGACAGTGTTCTCGGTGACTATGACTGGTCATTGATTGGTCTGACACTCAGGTGAGGGGAAACTGAGTCATTACGTGCACATGTATGTGTTAGAACGAAAGTATGTACTACCTTGCAACTCATTCATTGTATTGTCCATGCAACAAGATTGACTGGGAGGGTATGTTATGGAGGACCCCCAAACCACGAAGAAACCTTTGACGGTGGCTACAGTGGGTAGATACCCTGTAGCCACAGTCATATTTACATCCCAGTCGCTAAGTTTGTGCTCTGTTGTCTGTCTGTGAGTAGTAGTAGGGAGTATACAGTACATATTAATGTACATGTACAACGGTCAGTGTGTGCAACATTGGGGGGTGTTTGCAACTGTACAGAGCTTTCTCAATGACTCGGTGCATGTGCTGTTTCCTCTATATCTGATTCATTCTCACTCCCACGCACAGTGCGATGCGTCGGAGGCAACGTGGCAGCTGATCCAGGTGGTACTGGAAGACAACGGGACCCAGCCTGACCCTCGTATCATGTTCCTTGGGGGCGGCTGCTCTCCGGCCACGGAACCGCTCGCTGCTCTCTCCGGCCGATTCTACAACGTCACTCAGGTCAGCTACACCACTGGTTCTTTACAGGTGTCCACCTGTTTAGCTCTGTAATGCTCACTGCATTATTATATGTACAGAGTTTGCTTGTTGCATGCAGTGTACACAACTGATGGTCTACATACTGTATGTATGTATGTATGTATGTCTTACTCCTGCAGCTATAAACAACAATTTGTAAGACTGATTTTTCTTACATGTATATCAGCGCCCCATGCCTCGTGTAAACGTTTATGATGTCAGTGTGTGCCTTGGGACCTTGGTTATTCTGTTGCCTGTACAGAGAGAGCTGCTTACACATGCATGTGCATAGAAATAGGATAGCCTGTTTACGCTTGTTTGATCCTCCATACCATACCCCAAGTATGCAGTTTATGTGCCAGAATGATTTGCATGTGAATGTCGTGTACTGCACATGCATACTGAGTGAGAGTATACTGTGCCATAGCACAGTGGTTTGAGGTTTGCCTTGAGTTGTGTTGTAGATTCGAACCCCTACCAGCTGGTAGCTCAGTTGGTAGAGCGCTTGCCTAGACTCCAGAGTGTCGTGGGTTCGAATCCCAGCCAGGGCAGCTCTTTCTTTTCAAAGTGTCCTGGGTGTAGTTGACTTGTTTGCCTTGCCTTGCCTTGCCTTTCTATGTACCTCGTTACCAAGTTGTTGAGACATGCAAGTTTGTGTTCAATATGTAACAAAGGTCCCAGACTCTATGGGATGGGGTGGCCAGTTTCTTTGCTTGTCCAGTGGAGACTCTGTCTGTTGCACAGGTGTCGTACGGAGCCAGCACCCCCACTCTCTCTGACAGAACAATGTTCCCAAAGTTCTTCAGAACCATTCCCTCGGAGGTCCAGGCCAACAGCGCTCGGTTTGCTCTCATGGAGCGGTTCAACTGGGAGAGAGTGGCCACCCTTCACGAGACCAGGAACATCTTCTCTCTGGTACGGTTCAATTTTGATTCGTGTCGCTGTCTTATACCCCTAACGTTTAACCTGTAAATAATCGCTTAAACTCCGCACTCACAATGTTTTTAATATGGACGAAACCACTAGAATTCCACACTACATTTGCGTCCGCTCACCAATGTATATCTGTGAATACATCTCTCTGGTATGGTGTGTGGGGTATTGGACATTGCCACAGAACATGCTGTTTGTGTGCAACTGTGTTTGTGGTGTAAGCTAGCCAACTGAGTCGTGTTACAACGTTTACATTGGTACGTATGTTGTAACATGTGGAAGAATTCACAGTGGCAAGTGAAATTGTACGTCAAGTTAGGATCAAGGTCTTATAGCCAGACTGTTTAACCCCTAAAGCGGTCTTGGTCACTGAGTATTTCTGTGCTGTTGTAGACATGTGTGATCATTTTCTGTCCTCCCCTCCCCCTCCCTCCCCTCCCTCCCCCCCTCCCCTCCCTCCCTCCCTCCCTCCCCCCTCCCCTCCAGACGGTGAATAACTTCAGGGCCCAGTATTTCACAATCTTCAGGAACAGCAGTGACGGAGCCTCGGCCGACGACGAGGACAATAACCTGGTGGTGAGGTCATTCACCGATGACCCCGAGATCCCTCTCAGACAGATTCGAGTAAGAGACAGCCCCCACTGTTATCATGTAATTGTACTCGCGGGAACACATCAGGCAATATTTTAACCTAAAGGACACTACTAATTACATACCATACACTGCCGATAAAGACAATGCTTCATTACTACTTGGTGTGTTCATGTGTCATGGGTTAGAGTCCCACCAAGGGTAGACCTCTTTATCTCAATTAGTGCTTTATATCCACTTAGCTTTACCTTGGGTAAAAGTGTCTAGTGTCTGAGTGGGGTTGTACATGTCAATGGTATATACAGGTACAGACTGTATGTACGTGTGTGTGTGTGTGTGTGTGACAATGGTATATATGTAATGTGCTCTGGACTGATTGTCTCCCACAGGACAAGGATATTCGTATCATACTGGCCTACATGTATGAGGACAAGGCCCTGAATACCACCTGCCAGGTAATAATTGGCAACGTGATTTGTTTTGCACATCCACGTGTATATCTTTTATCTTGTGGAACAAAATTATACCTTGCAAACTAACATTTCCCCCTACTGGTCAGTAGGGACTAGTAAGCTCTCAATTCTACTAGCCCAACAGCTTTCGCTTCTTTCAACGTCTGGCTGACTTGTTGCTCCATTGTCTCCCACATGCGGCAGGCCATCCACCTGAACCTAACTACAGAGAACCACCTGTGGATATTCCCGGCCTGGTACCCCACCGACTGGTGGAACGAGACTGTCTACATCAAGAACAGAGATCCTTGCACTCCAGACATGGCAAGTGAACCTGTTCCTTACTCTCTGTGAGAATGAGCTTTTGTGTGGAAAATGAGGGAGAACTACGCGATTCAAATGACTGCAGTAACTGACACCATATATTGCAGAAACCTTACCTGGAAGGAATGTGTAGTGGTTAGCAAAAGTTTCATCTGCAAAAGTTTGTAGACAGGCGGGGGTATTTGTTTTGCGGTACTAAAGTTTTCCTTGTGAAATTTGAATTCCATTTGCTGTACCAATAAGTTTCTATTTTGTTGCTGCTAGTATGTATGTGGTACATACTGGTCCTCCTCACCATTAGCAGCACTGTATGAATAGTGTGCGTATTTCAGTGAAGTGAAGTGACTATTAGCCCCTCTCTGCTATGTAGATGAGGGAGGCAGTTATGTACTCCATCTACCTGGACTCCTACAACGAAACTCTGAATAAAGACATTCCTGCAGACAGTGGCTTGGTGAGTTATGTAGCTCTCTCCCATCCATCACACTCAATACTGCTTCCACACAATAGTACATGTATTTGTTGCACTGACGTATGGTAGCTTGTATCTGGTAGTCAACATTTGGGGCCATGGGCTGGGTAAAGAGTGTGTAGGCTGATAATATTACGAGTTGGGGTTAGGGTTGACTTTGTAAAGAGTTGACGTATGATGTAAGTTGCGTAAAAGAGTTGAGGTGTGTTATAAAAAGAGTTGGGATTGTAATAATAATTGGGGTGTGTCATAAAAGATTGTGTCACGGTGGAAACGGCAGTCCCTCTATCTCCCCACAGACGATAGATGAGTTCCTGGTGAAGTACGAGGCCGCCCTGGAGGAGTTCCGGACCAGTGGTCTCTACTATGGAGACGATGACCCTCACCACTATGCCACCTTTGCCTACGATGCCGTCTGGACCATGGCCCTAGCCCTCCACCGAGCCAGCCAAGTCCTCGAGTGAGCTCTCTCTCTCTCTCTCTCTCTCTCTCTCTCTGTGTACATCTGTACATTTGTCCTTGGATCCATGCGTTTAGTGAATTCTTCTCCAACAAGTATTGTCTATGTATGTACTATGTAGGTAAAATAGCGATTTGATAATAACAATGTGTATGGTAGATTAGAACCTCACTTTATCCCTTGACTGCTAATGGGCATTTTGGTTTTGTTCACCAATCAGCTCAGAGCATTTCATACAAATTTGTAAACTGCAGTGTACAAAATGGTTGTTCATAAGGTGTGTAAAGTATATTGTGTTGTTCCTCTTGATCCTCAGGGGAGATGAGGTCTACCTCCATAACTTCACCTATAGTAACACTCTCGGTATCACTGAGAATATCACGCAGCAGATGAGCACTCCGTCGTTCCGTGGCATATCCGTGAGTTGGTTCCGGCTGGAGAGTTTTTTCGTTGTTTCTGCATGATGAAAAACAACAGTGTTTGTGTGTGGGTATGAGGTATAGGGGCATCATTGTATGTATGTATTCCACATTCAGGGGGAGATTGCATTTGATGTGAATGGATCAAGACTAGGCCACAATGGTATCTATCAACTAGGTGAGAATATAGTACATACATAGTACATTAGTAACATATTATGTATGTACAAACGTACAGTACATACGTATACAGAAGTGGGCTTTTCGCAACGAATGTACAAAAAGCTGTGTAGATATACGATCGATTACTGAAAAGTCAGTGTTGCCAACTCAGTGTAAAATAATGGTGTGTGTGTGTGTGTGTGTGTGCCGCAGTTCCAAGTGATGATGGGGAAAGTCTGGAGCTGAAGCTGCTCTATGTGCAGGACCCTCACCAAGTCGACAGCAAGCTACCAACCAACTTCTCAGAGTGGCTGTGTGAACCTCGGTGGAAAGGTCAGCCACACCCCTCTCTCTGTACAGTGTTTAGCTCACTAGCAATATAGTCGATTTTCTTCAGTGCAGAAATGGTGCAGTAGGATAGAGATGAAATAGCAACCCATTGCACCTCTGAACAATTCTCAACATCTCATTTTTACCATCCCTTTAGACTCCTGACTTTAGTTGTAGGGTGTGGAAGGTCAGGAAAACATTTATGTAGGTTGTTAGAGTAGGGCTGCAGGTCATGGTAAAGGTTATATTATAGACTCATACTCCATCTACTTACCATTCTTAACAGTGCATCTTTTCTTGATGTTGTGTACATGTACAGGTGATGGTCCACCACATGACAGGAGACAGCCAGACACCAAGTACCTCAACTCTAGCCTCATCTATGCCTGTGATTTCTTCATCTCCGTGGCCATCGTTGTGGCCGTGGGGCTACTGGTCTTCAATCTCGCCACTATTTGGAAACCGTGAGTCTGGCTTAGCCGTGGGACTGTGGGTACAGCTCATACGTATGTATAGGTAACTGGTATGTACACTACAGTACAAGGAAACATAGGGTGTACACCTCAGATACATTGTACATGAGCTGAAAATGTCGTGTTCCGTGAGCATAAAAAACTCCATTAAGGATCCTGTGAGCTTACTATGAAGGCATGCATAATGAGAAACAACTACTTTTATTGGTAATCAGAGTGGGCAGGCAACAACATCGTTTTCCTCGATGCATGTGGCAACTACGAGGTAGAAAGGCAAGGGACAATAAACAAGTCAACTACTCCCGGGACAAACTGCCCTGGGTGGGATTTGAACCGACCACACTCTGCAGTCTAGGCGAGCGCTCTACCAACTGAGCTACCAGGGCAACTCAGCTGGGTAGGGGTTTGAATCTACAACACAACACAAAGGCACACCTCAAATCACTGTGCTATGGCACGGTCTACTCTGATCACTCGATCAGTATGCATATCGTGGATTTGTTGACATGTTGCAGGCTGATCCGTGACTCTGCCCCCATCATCAACACCATAATCATCTGTGGTTGTCTCCTGATGCTGGTGACGTGCTACATGTTGGGAGTGGACACCAAGACACCCACCCAGGACGGAGACAATCCCTCAGATGCTGACGAGGACAACACCGAGTCTGGTAGAGAGGACATCAACCAGCAGAGAGACTCTCGCTATGCCAACATCTGCATTGTACGTCATTTCCTTTATACCTACAGTTTCCTTGTTACACCTTGCTGCAGCACTTAATTGGCCTTTCCTTGACTTATAGGGGCTTCTGTATATATATAATTATACTTACGTACATACTAAGATTGTTGTGTTCCCTTTCTCATGTACACTCTTTCCTTCCTCTCTCCTTCACTCTCTCCCCTCTCTACTTCTCTGTCTCTCTCTTTCCCTCCCTATCCTCCATCACTCTCTTCCATCACTCTGTCTGCTCCCTCATCCCCCCTCCTCATCCCCCCTCCTCCACCTCCTCCCTCTCTCCCCTCTCCTCCATCTCTCCTCCCCCTCTCTCCTCCCTCCCTCCTCCCCTCTCTGCCCTCCCTCCGTCCCCCTCCCCCCTCCCTCCAGCTCCGTCTGTGGTTGTTCACACTGGGATTCAGTCTCTCGTTCGGAGCTCTCTTTGCCAAGACCTGGCAGGTCTACAGAGTCTACACAAACCCTAAACTCAAGAAGCAGGTAAAGGGTAGCTACTATTGCAGTGTGTACCCCCTTCAGCTACATTTCCTCACTATTAATCCCTGGTTTACTGTATCAGTGGAAGCTAGCTAACCCAAGTAGTGACCCGTATGACACGTTTTTCCAACATCGTACATTTGTGCTTGCTTTTGAACTTCTTCCATGCGAAATAGTCTGAGAATTATGGTACTTGGCTCTTGCTCCCCTTTCGCCTAAAAATGCAATAATGTGTACATTCATCTGTAGTACTGTATGTACCAGTGTAATGTTGCCTGTGATACTGTGCCAATGCAGCCATTCAAGATGTGGAATTTCCTGATAATCTTGGGAGTGTTTCTGTTCATCGATGTCCTGTATCTCAGTATATGGACCGGTGCCTTCCCCTTCAGGAGGGCCCTTGCACAGAGAGAGGTACATACTACATATGAACCATGTGATGCCAAGAGAAAAAAGGCTACTGGGCTGGGATAAAACAAGGGGAGCCCCTGTGCTTAGAGTGTTTAATTGAAAAACGTAGCACCAGCGGGCAATGCGTACATTAATAAAGGAGTCACGTAAAAAAAGGAGAAAAAAGTGTCGTGATTTGTGTTTGTTGGTGTGTCCACTCAGAACGATGCGGCGGACACACTGGAGGTGTTTGAAAAGTGTGTCTGTGACAACTTCAACTACCTCATCGGAGCTCTCTACGTCTACAAGGGTCTCCTGGTGGTGTTTGGGCTGTTCCTGGCCTACGAGAGCCGCAACGTCAAGTACTACTACATCAACGACTCTCGGTTCACCAGCATCGCGGTCTACATCGTGGTCATTGTGGTGGGTATTGGAGCCCCGCTGAGTCTGGTCCTCTCTGAGCACCTGTTTATCGACCCCGCCTACTCCCTGACGGTGCTGATGGTCATACTGGCCACCATGGCCTGCCTCCTCATCCTCTTCATACCCAAGGTATACCATTATTATTCCACTCACTTCTTTCTTTCCGTGCGGTGTGTACGTATTTACAATGGTCTGTGTGTGTGTGTGTGTGTGTGTGTGTAGCTGGGAGATAGACAGTTTAAATATAACGTTTCACACTGGCCCATTGACTCAGCATAAAAATATACACAAAGAGGTTTGTAGCCTCGCTCCCAGGCCCTTTAGCTTGAAGAAATGGACTGGAATCCAGTCAGCAAAGCAAATACAGCCTTGGCATAAGATCTCCCCCTCTTAATACAGTTCCTAATACACTTCAACATATGTACACCTTCTGCTGTGAGGACACTTTTTGAACCTGTTTGGCTTGTACACCATTGCAAAATATTTGCTGCCATGAAATGCAGTTTCCAGCATGATCAAACGTATGTGTACAATACATGTATATACAATCGATTTGGCTGAAAGCCTCCCTCCTTGTGTCCCCATAGTTTGTGTACATGGCGAAGGGTAAGGAGACGATGGTCAACGAGAACACGAGGGAAGAGGTGACGGCAGGAGACGGACTCCAGCTGGGGCGGACCAGTGTCGACCAGACCGACATGCAGACTGCAGAGGAAGAAGTTAGACACCTGCAGGAGAGGGTCGGAAAAGTCAGCTACTTACTCTACACATACGTAGATTGTATATAGAGTGTATGTATACAACTAGTCCATCACAGTAGCCAAGTCTAGGCAATCGTAGACAAGTCTAGGCAATCGTTTTGTTTCCCATTTTGGTGAGATTAGGTGGGCATCTGGTCCAGTCCTGAAATACATGAAAACCCAAATTACACTGAAGGTACACACGTGGTCCATGACTGATGGTCAATTATCAAGTGTGGAGAAAAAGAGTCCAGTGCTTTGGGCCTGGTTCACAATACTTTGCTGGAGCCCACGACATGACCCCTATCTTGTTGCACATTTTTTGTGGGGCTAAATGTGACAATCATGCAGTCTGTTTTATGTCCTCGCTTAAGCAATGTATTGTGAACCAGATTTTACAAATCCATTGCAAACCTCATCTTGTATGCCACTCTCTACTCTCTACACCACCTGCAGAAGACGTCAGAGCTGCACACTCTGGAGGACACCCTCCAGTCACCCACCAAACCCTCCCCAAAGTCGCAGTGTGGCTCCGACGGGGACAGCGGGGTCCTGGTGACCACCACCGACGAGCAGCCCGAGGTGTTCATCTCCGAGACGAGTCGGGGTACTCCGGAGGAGCAGGCCTCCGGGAGGATCCCCCAACAACCCCTCCTCCACTGAAGAGACGGCTGGCGACGAGGGATTATGATGGGGGCAATACAGAACGAGAGACGTTTCCGTAAACAACATGACTCTTCTGCACTGTTTTTTCCATTTGTTTTCTAAGTTTGTTAGCATACATGGCATGGTGCTATGTCCTTAATCATCATCCTTTTTTATGGTTCACATTGTGTATACATAACCTGTATGTAAACCCTTTGTATTGATGTGAGGTCAAAGTTCATAATTATGTATTTCTAGCTAGGCTACTATTATACTGGAGTTTTGCATGGCTTACACTATCACAGTTAGTCATGGTGAGTTTCCTATTATTGTAAGTGCGTGGAAGGGTATTTGGTAGCCATTCCTGGTGCCTGTGTATATAGATGCACTTTCTGACCAGACTGCTACTAGGTTAGCCAACAGCTACAGCTAGCTATCTATGTAGTTGATGGTGCTGGGCCTCAATCTCCCCGTGCCATGCCCTCCCCACAATCCAGGGGCTGCCAAGCACAAGGTGGAGGTGTTAGCAGTGGCTATACGGTGGGCCAGCTACAGGAGGCTCTGGAGGAACTCACAGAGGTGCCTGTCAGTGCTCAGAAACTCATCTTCCAGGGTAGCTGCATGCATCATATACTTTACCCTAACTTGTAGCCTATACATGCTATAGGCCTTCAAGCTCACATGTTTGCAGCTGAATCATAGAATTTCACTGTAGTTGTCTAGTTCAATCGTACAACTGTGAGCATGGCCCTGCTCTGCTCACACAGGCAAGACTCTACGAGATGAGTCCAAGACACTAAGTGGCCTGAGCATGAAACAAGACAGCAAACTCATCCTCCTGGGCAGGAAGGCAAGTGAAAGAGTCTTGAAGACAGTCTATATATCACGATGTATGGTGCAGACAAATGTCACGTTAGCCACTATGCATGCTGCAGTACACGGATGATCAGGAAGAGCAGTTACGTCCAATCACAGCCGTACTAAAGACAGTGGACAGTGTGAAGAAAAAACTGGATGCCATTTCTGAAGAGATTGAGGGAATTGAAAAGGTTTGTGCACGCACACACGTGTGTCACACTGGTCAAGCTGTAACCATAGTGGGTTAAATTGTCTGTTCCAAGTATGTAAGCATAACAGATTTTCCATAATATTTGCTCAGCGAATATATAGAACAAATTTTTTGGCCTCAATGACAATCGCTGATCTCCTTGTTGTGAGGTCTATTCCCCATCCCATGCAGGGGTTTGTACAGCGAGAACTGGTGGGGGAAGCATGTCGAGGTCTGCACAAGAGATGTGTGGCTGCCACTGAGCTACTCATGCGGAGTATGGAGGCACTGGACAGCATAGTGAGACACTAATACCGCCAGTCATTTCCCTCCCTGATGGAATATAGTATCTATGGCTAGATTCTCTGGTCATCTTTAGCATACATTATCCCGCAAGTGAGCACCTCCAACCTGTTGAAGTCACCCATGTACAGGAGTCCTCAACAATTTTCCGTATTGTGCGCCTTACTTGCCGTGCCTTCTTCTCTGCATTCAAATTATGTACAAAACAAAATTGAATCATTCTTTTTTTTGCTATTTGCCACTCCAGCCAATATCTGCTGCCGATACTCTGGTTCGAGGGAAAAGAAAAGCGGCTGTAACGAGGATTCAGGTAAGTTATTCTGCGTGGGCCAACACAATTCTGATTTCTTTTTTGTTCCCTGTACATACCACTGTGTCTGCTAGAGGTAGCTGATAGACTGAACCGAAGAGTAGACTCTTGTAGATCAAACTGACTAAACAGCTATAATGTATGTCCATGTATCAACAGTTTATAAGGTAGTTGAGACAATGTGTAACAATGAATACAGGGTGGCCCTTAAACTTTAACAAGAAATTGGAAGGTGGACAGGTCAATCCACAATCCCCGAAAACTGACTATAGCTGGACAATTTGTGCAAATAACTGTCACAAGTGAATGTTGTTAATGTCCCATGCACGCGGTACAAAAAGACAACATCAGCACGAGTTGAAGTTGTAGTGTGGTTGGATCAATTGAGATGTTTCTTTGCAATCTGCTGAGCTTTTCTCTTGAAATGTATGGAGGTGATGGGAGTGTTGGGCACATAGAACGGATTCAGTGCTGCCTACAATAAGCAATGATGATAGATTTTGCCACAGAACCAAAATTTTAGTTACCTTTACGAAGGCGTCATACATGTCGGTGAAGAAGTTTCGTATTGTGTCGCTGCCTCGTGACTGGCCATCATGAAGGAGCAGGAAACGCATGTCTGATTACAGGGGTCAGGAAATCATCTCTTCAGCCAACAGGCTGCACATACAACACTGCTATATCCACTGTAATCTTTAGCTACGTCGCGCAGGGCAGGATACGGCTGGCTGTGACAAACCCAGTCACGGTCGAATCATTGAACTTGTCCACAGTCTTGAGGTACCTAATATCAGGAGATTCAAAATTTCTGGCTAGAAGGGAGCTGACTCGGCCACTGCACAACTAGCTTCTACCACATGAACCTCTTTAATCTAGACACAAACTGTTGGTCACAAAGTCTGCTGAATGTGTGTGTGTTGCATAACGTACAAGTTCCCAGTCTGCCAGGTGGCCTCGTCCACCAGATCCAGTGCCGCGTGGGCCACAAACTGGTTCAAGCTCTTCTTGTCATCGCTCTACACAGCAAGAGAAGGCCGGGAAACTACTGATCAATAGACAATAGGGTGTCATTGGCATCAGCTACCTTGTCCGAGGTCTTGGTAGAGTTTTCCAGCTCGAACAGAGGGTTGTCTCCGTGACCCACGATCACAAAGTAGTAGCCACTCGCCATCTTCTTACCCAGTCCCCGCCTTTCCTCGAGATAGGTGGAGCTACCAATATGTACTTTGAACCTAACGGGGGGTGGAGCTGCTATGCAAGTGTGCGTGACCTGTGGGCTGTCACTGTGCCGACTTACTAGGGACTATTAGATGGGTAACCGCCTGGTCTACCCCGAGGCGGATCTGTCCGGCCGTGTGGCAGTGGTGACGGGAGGGAACAACGGGATCGGCTACGAGACGGCCAAGGCCCTGGCGGCTATGGGGGCCCACACGATCATAGCTTGTCGCTCCAGAGAGAGGCCGAAGAGGTATAGCTAGCTAGCTGCAATAGCTAGCTACATTCTATTACTACTGGTACCATAAGTATTTACTGGCCCTTAGAGATCTCTAGTGCTAAAATGCGAATCTTACCACTGTTTGCATAACAGAAGCTGTATAGCTAGCTACATAGATCAGAGTAAGGAAGGGAAGGAGAGAGTGAGAAAAAGGGAGAAGGAAAAGGAGGGAGACTGAGAGGGAGGGAGGTAGGGAGTAGAAGTTAGCAACATTACTTTAGAGGCTGTACTGTCCTGTCCAGGCCATACAGCGTATGAAGGGAGAGTTGTCATCTGTGGGAGAAGGAGCGAGTGGGAAAGATGTGAAGTTGGAGTTCATGCCACTGGATCTGGCCTCCCTCAGCTCAGTGAAACAATTCACCGTGGCCTTTCTGGAGAGAAACCTGCCCCTTCACATCCTCATCAACAATGCTGGAATTGCGTGGCTGCCCCTGGGTAAATTACCAGATAGCCTTTGCACTATACTTCGTTCAAAGTTCAATGTTCCTTTCTCTAGAAAAGACGGAGGATGGGTATGAGCTCCATATGCAGGTGTGTATATCCTAACGTTCTACTGATAGCCGTGCGAGTGCACTTATTTAACGCGGTTTACAATCAACTTTAGACCACATAATGTTGCATACGAGCAAGAATTGTGTTCAGCGAAAGCTCGAGCTACAACAGGGAATTACTCTTTTCATATCACCTATTGTACATGTTTTTGGAGCTATAGCTACAAGTTTACCTCCTAGAAATGGCACAGCACTTGCGATTTCACCAGTCTTTGTATAAAACAGAGTGTTGTCCTGGGGGTCATTGATTTTTTGCCTAGTTTTACACTCCAGGTCTTGTATCATGGATTGTGTATATATTATGTATATATCTCTGAGCAGGTGAACCACCTGAGCCACTTTCTGCTGACACTGGAGCTGCTCCCTGTGCTAGAGAGCACTGGCAGAGAGACTGGGGATGTGAGAGTGGTGTTTGTGTCGTCAAGTACTCATAGCTGGGCCAGCTGGGACCCAGACAGCCTCACTGGAGTCACCAACTACAGCAGGCTCAAGACCTACCCCAAGACCAAACTCTACAATGTGAGCGCTGCATGCAAACTTTTTTTGCCAAGAGGTGAGAGTTTGTTTATGCCCACAGATAATGGCAGCTCATGCCTTTCAGAGAAGATTGCCAGACTCTGCAATAACCTTCTCCTCACTACACCCTGGAATGGTGAGCTCTTATCCCTCGGAAAAAATACATAGCTACTCATGAGATTGACATTTTCGTTACTTGCTCTCTCTAAGGTGAATACCAGTATAGTCCAAGGATTCAGTGATTTCAAGACCCTCAAATATCTTGCTGGAAGTTTTATGTGGGGTGAGTATAGTGTATTGTTAAGGCAATGTATGTATGTGTTTCACTTGCTCTTCCGGTCTCCTGGTGTTCAATTTAGTGGCCCGTACTCCAAAGGAAGGAGCCGCCACTAGTATCAACTGTGCCGTCAATCCTCAGCTAAACTCCCGGCAATGTCTCTACTACGACAGCTGCAGACCCACCAACTCCAGTGCTGACTCCAGGTGTATATATAGTACAATAATGTCATGGGGGACCCTCTAATTTGGGAACTGTAATAAGGTTGTCAGATTTTCACGGACTGGATAAAGCATATTCAATGCCGTGGGGACCCTAAATCTTGAAACAGTAATAAGGTTGTAAGATTTTCACGGGACGGAAAAAGCAATTATCAGTGAGAAAAAGTACAATAATGTGGTTGGAAACCCTTTAATCAGGGAAACATAATCAGATTTCCACTAGCTGAAAATGAGCATCAAAAGGGGCTCGTTTCTGCAGGAATGAGGGCTACCAAGAGGTGCTATGGGAGAAGAGTATTGAGATGGTGAAACACTTCCTGTCCTCGGCCACCCTGGCCAAGTATGGAGGTGCTGGCTCGCCTTCCTCAGCTCCACCTCAGACTGAACAGACTGAACCCAAGACTACACCTCTCCCAGCTGAAGACTCACATTAACAACAAACATTTAATAATATGCCCGTTTTGTGTGTATGCTATTAGTTTGGAATAGTATAAACACATCGATATTGAGCATTATGTGTCATTGTATAATAATCACTCCCTTTTTCTGAGAACTATAATATAGAGGATTGGTAAACTAACCATTTGTATTTTGCATGGTACCAAAAGCACCATGATGTGAATGGTTTGGATGGGTTGCATCTGCCAATTAAGTGCCCAGGTGCAATATAAGCGTTGCTATTGTAGTTGTCGACAAACACTGGCACCTTTCTTTAGACTTACACCATTCAGGATATTGTGCAATCTTCTTTCCGTTTTGTGTGAGCTATAAGTTGGGGGATTAATATATCCAAACAAGTCTCACCGTCAATATTGCTCTGTCAACATTGCTCTGTCAACATTGCTCTGCCATTATGGTGTTTTGTATACAAACCTCCCTTCACAATGGATATGGAAACACAGCAAAGTATAATGATCATCCCACAGGGTAAACTCACCGACAGTTCTCAAAAGATGTCGCTAGTTGTGTTGTTCTGTGTCTTGCTAGCTATACTGAAGGCTCAATCACTGCCTCATTTGAAGCATCTTGGAGGACCTCTATACAACAATTCCTTCATTTACTACGCCAATATTTCTATTGGAGACTCTGCCTTAGAGTGCGTGACTGAGAGTGTAAACTGCTGCAATAACTCTACTGTTGGTGGCTGGAGAGATGAGAGAGGGAGACCAGTCTACCAGGGAGAAGATGGGACCACTTGTCTGTATGTCACTAGAGGAGATGGAGTGATCAGTCTACACCACAAGAGAGGTTGTAGTGACCACACATCAGGACTGTGGAGATGTGATATACCTGATTCCAGTGGAGAGATGCAGAGCCTTTATGCCTACATTGGTCAGAATGAAAGGTATTCCAACCCACCTGGTAAGGACAAACAGTAATGGTCCAGTTTTACTCTCTCTGCTCACTGCCCTGGAGTACAGGACAACTGAACAGCTCAGTATCTATGAACTTCACTCTACACACTGAACTCAGAGCAAGTGTTCCTGAATTCACTATCTCCTGCCGTACTCATGGAGGACCTGCCACAACTGTCCAGTGGACAGTAAATGGAGTCCCAGTACAGGAAGACAGATATCATGAGACCAGTCAGCTCATACTGGACACATCTCTCAACTCTGTCTATGACAACAGATTGAGAGTGAGAGGAAGAAGAAATGGGACCTACAACTGTACCATCAGCAACAATATTAGAGATTATCTTCAACATGGGGTATCTGTTACCCAAGTTAATGACACCCTAAATATATCTGGTAATAAGCTAAATACTTTATGATTCCATTTTGCTATCTAACACAGTTGCAGGAGAGCCCACTGGTCTTACTGCAGTCATCTCTGAGTCCAACAGTACACATGTCAATATCACTGTGTCTTGGGAGTCACCAGGTGATCCTGTCACTGGCTATGTCATCTACTACCAGCCTAAGGGAGGACCAGTCATCAGTGACAGGGTGTCTGGAGGAGAGACAGACACACACTCACTGGATGGTCTTCAGAGAGGAGTCACCTACTACATCTCCATAGTGGCTCTGTCACCTCACCTACCCAGTCCTCCTATCCCTCTCTATTATTTGCAACCAATTCAGCGTTAGTCAACATGACCCACACCCAGTGTTAAAATCTCTCATACAGTTAGAGAGTTGTGTGGGGAGAGTGACAGTGTTCTGGAAGTCACGGGAGCTGTTGGTGGTGCAATGGGCCTTGTAATCGTCGCTCAGTCCGTACTCATCATGTTCCTTCTTCGACCAAAGCCCCAAAAGAGACCAAAGAAAAAGTTAGTCACTTGTTTTACGTACTCATGAATTACTAGTCAGTTCTAATAACTACAGGTCCTCTGCTAGTACAAGTGAGTCCAGACCAGCCAGCTACAGGGTTGCATCCAGACCAGCCAGCTACAGGGATGCCTCCAGGCCAGCCAGCTACAGGGTTGCCTCAGTGCATGGTTTGGATCTCCAATCAATCACTCCCAATACACCAACGAGGTAAACTTTGCTCTTTTAAAGACCACAACTTCTATTCACACATTTAAGTTATTATATTCCCCGGCAGAGGGTCCATACACATGGGAATTGAGGAAGTGGAGACTTGCAATAACTCAGTCTATGCAGCAGTGGTACTGGGGGAGGAGGAGCCCGACTACGAATTCATCAGGTCACAGTCAGTAGCGCCCAGTGAACACAACACATCTCTTCCAGCCAGTCAAAACTGAACAAGCGGTTAACGAGATGGCCAACAAGAACACATACGCAGGGTGGTGCTAGTATAGACTACGACACTTTAGCATGTACATAATTGTTGAAAAAAGGATTAAAAATGCCACATCTGCTATATTATGCATAATTATTATAGCTCCAGCTTATGGTCTAAAACACACGTGTGAGTGTGTGTCCAAAGGTTGTGTACGGCAGTGTTCTACTGCTGTGTCAGTTGTTTGACTAGTGGCAGCTCTGCTCTCTCGCGAATCTCGTCAAACGAATACTCTTTCACTAGCTCCCCATTCTCAAACACCGTCACCAGGAGATCCTGCACACACAGAGTTGCATAAACACCACCAAAGTATAAACATCTGTACTCTGACTAGTTCATTACGTAACCATAGTGTATGCACATGGAGATTATGTCAGATTAAGTCAGAGTAGAGAAAGATATTAAAGTATAGTCGCACACAAGGCTGGTATATAGCACCACATATACACCTGTACTCAACTTCAATCAAACAGACTACAAAATGTCCTAGAGTACATATTTCCATTCGGAACAGTTTGTATGAATACTCACGTATTTGAACTATGTGAGTATTATACACAATCACTAGACATTCTGGCTACAACTCATGACTCTAAGTTACGCAAAAAATGTGTAAGGGCCAACATGAGAGTGTTTCTGTTTGTAATTAAGGACTCCGGTGAACACGTTTCCTATCCTGTTCCTCGGCT